ACTCCGACATCTATAACCCCTCACAACACATCGGGGCACCTACCCCTTCTCCCTACTATGTACCGGGCAATTTGAAGAAGGCTTGGTATTGGCCCTCCGCCCCCTTAATGATTGCGCCATGAAACGTCTCCTTTTCCAAGATGATGTACCGTCACGCCTCACGTCTTCGTCTAATTCTTACTAACCGTGAGACATACAATAGCGTAATGGGATTTCAAATAACGCTTTCCGGCCAGTGTATGCTTCCTGGCTCTTGATGAACAATGTGGCGGAAGGAGAACGTTAAATTTATCTAAATCAGAAATGGTATGGTCTTAAAAATTACAGCAAAGACAAGGGAAACAGGGCTGCCGTTTCTGACTCGTTATCCGTCATCGGCCAGCCATTCTCAACCACAGGTGGTAGCCCACCAAATGCTCGAATCTGCGACCTGCTAATCATACGTTCAACGCTAGGGGCAATTTTCTTGCCTGTTAAGACGGCGAGATACTGACACTCGTCGACGAATTCTCACCGATCGCTATCGGACCTCAAACTCGGGATGGGGCTTGAGAGTGAACCCCAAGGGAGAATTGCCTCTGGTGCTTCATCTGAGTTGAACCTGCCTGGGAAGATTCTGTCCCGAAAGTCATCTCTCCCAACACATGATGTATAGTCACATGCATATCTTATTATACCTACCTTTATTGGCCTACTTCACCCAGTCGGTTCCGAGAAAGCCCGTTTTTGTATCCTCACCCTTTAAAGGAGACAACATCGCGAATACAATTAAGCGAAGATTACTTTGTTCCATACAGAGAACTTACTATGCAGCCGAACTTGTTTTCCTCTTTCCAACTAAAAGCCTCCCAATTAACCGGTCAAAGGAAGCCTTGCCTTTGCACGCCACCTCAAACTGCGTATATGAATTCACCTTACTTGCGGATGCAAGTACACTAGCCGTTCGCAAATGTAATTTGCGACCAGGGCTACTGAAAGTTTGCCTGCTTGGCTTTTAAAACAAGAGAACAATGTACCACGGTCATCTATTACAAAACACATATTAAACAGTGGTCACTCCGTTGACACTAACACACCTTTCCGCGTTCTTGTACGAGCACGAACAAACCGGACCTTACGTTACATGGAAGCATCCTACCTACGGCGGGAGAAACCCGACCTATGTAAGAAAATAGACCATGTAGTTAATCTTCAATTGCCCTTGTAAATACATACCACACTTTTATTTTTGTTAATTCTCCTCCCTACTTTTCGTCCCAAGTTTACAGTTGATTTAACTATTGACCATTTGCCACGTTAACACAACCTTGCTATTATCGATTTGGTGGAAATTCAAAATGATGTGTTCTCTAAATGTTTCATTATTAATGCACAGAGCGGACGCAGCTGATAAGCGCTGTCAAAATTAATTTGCGCAAATAAATGCTGCTATTTCGGTTCGCTTCAAATTTATACCGGGAAAAAATATTTTACAAATAATGATTGCATTCGCGTAAAACAGTAGCACACTCTTGAAGGAAGTCCAGTTCGGCCCACATTTTGCGACTTATTCTAAGAAGACCCTTCATTATGCCGAATAATTTGGAAAGCTTCTTTTAAAATCAGGCTTATCTTTCATTCTTGAGTCAAAGCTGTTGTTTTTTCGACTAAGCCTGCCACCTACAGATTTTCCCGTTTCCAAGTCGTTTTAGTAATTGATATTTCAACTCCTCAAGCATAATGTCTTCCAGTTTCAAATTTTTTCATTCTTCAGACGCCACCTCGTTTGACCAGTTTTTCTTTTGCATTTTGAGTACAAACCTGACCATAACCTACAAAAGCCGGTGAAGTTACAGTTACCTATTGCAAACAGGTTTTTCTAATAATTCCTCTCTAAAATTCATTTTCCTTCTAGTTAGTTCAAAAGAAAGTATAGGATAAATTCAAGTTTATTTTAGTTCCGCAAATTATGCCTTTCCGCGCACAGTCGATGGTTCCTGAGAGGCGACGGTTTTTGCAATAGAATATAGAAGAGTTAGAACTCCGGCGACGCTGAGTGGAAGAAATGTGCCTTCCACCTGCTAGAACAAAGTAGGTTTGAAATATAAAAAACGGCTTTCAGCTTACTTAGGCCACTGGTGGTGGGACATTTTTCTTGTATTCGTTCTGATAATTTCCCGGAGGAAAGTAACGTCCAACAACATAAACTGATTTTTTGTCTTTACTCCGAGCCACGCCAAAGCCCGCTTTTTCAGAGCCTTTCCAAATTACTTGTGTAAAGTGCCCTAAAACAGTTTAAATAAATAAATGCTACTCACACTATGTTAGTAGAAATATGCATGGGATCTAAAATGTTTGGAAGAAGGTGGCGGGTTTGCTAAGCAGTTAGGCTAGGTAACAAATCGCAAGGTGTGTGCATGCAAGATTGTGCTCAATAGACTGGAAAACGTTACAAGCGATAGCATTCGTGTATTACAATATCGAAATTCCACCTTAGTATTTGAGGTTAGTTTCTACAATGTTATGTGTCAACATAATTTCGTTAAACGCTTTTTTAGTCGGGTTTACACTTTTTTTATTAAAAATGTAAAAAATGACTGAGACATACCACACCCCTGTTGCGTATTCCCGTTATAATCATAATGTTGGCCTTCGCTGTACCAGGAATTCGTTGCCTGTGCACCTAAAATGAAAATGCAAGGTCAATAATTCAATCGATTTTGCGCTTTACATTTTCCTATGTTCACATCGTGAAGTGCATTAAAATCTCTACTACTGGCGGTCTTTCGTTATACTCAAATTCACTCAAATTCTCCCTTTTCGCAATGATAAGTTTGTACATCATTATTAGTCCTATTGCTGAACAATGGCTAGGTGTAACTTTTGATGGAGAATTGGAAAGTTGGTTATGCATATATTGTTTTTGTACAAGGGGTTAACATCTGCAAGGTAACAGTATTATAATGCTGTATATAACGGGCGTCTGCCTTTCAAAAATAGGTTTAATAACGCGTTATGAGTGAAAACTTCAGCTCCGATATTTTGGAAGAATCCTGGCACTCTTTAAGACGGCAAAAGATTAACTCGACTTGTTTCCTTCGATTCAAGACAACGTTGCGTTGATTTGAGCTAAATCAAGTGGTTTTTAGCTGTGAATTCGTCTTACATTCCGACGGCCTATGATACAAACGCATTGCCGACGGGACCACTCTCTTCAAACTGCGGAAGAGTTTGACTAAAAATTACAGATATGGCCCTTTAACGAGGATATGGAAATCGGAAAGGCCGGACCCTGCGAATTATTCCAGGAAGGATATATATTCCGGGCCTTACATGTAACTAAAGGTCTACCTGTTGTACCTGTGGCCAAAGCTGCGATATTCGCCGTATCGCTACGCCTCATGTGAGCACCCAAGGTAGAACATAACAAGAAGTCTTCGAGATAACCTATTACAGCATAATTTAAAGCAAATGAAAGCGCATGTAAAAGGTTGGACCATCTAGATGGTGGTCACAGGTAAGACACGACTTCATTGGCTATATGAGTCATGCAGTTGGCGTGTTAATATAACGCTTGGCTGGAGCTGGGCGCGGCGGCCTCATGCAGTTCACTTTGTT